ACTGTACTGGGATGAGTATTAGATTGTTTCAGCAAACTTGCTTTGGTGTCCTTGTTTTTTGGAAGGCTTTATTTACCGTAGGATGGTCACACATTGCCAGATACCCTTGACAAACCAGCTTATGAATGTAAATGAATAGGTTGTTCTGTTACTAAACATTGGAATCCTTTAGCAGAACTGTTTTCTAAAGAAAGGAAAGTATCTTCGTTTCTTGAGGGAACCACTTCTTTTTTTACTCTCCTGGCTCATTAGTGGTTAGTGACAAATGGTGATTACTGCCGGAAGGTGAATAATTTTGCTGTTATCAAAACATTATGAATGGATTCTCATAGAAAAGTAAAAGAGAAAGCATCACATCTGGTTTATTCCATATATATTAGGTTTATTCCCATTGTTGCCAGCCATGAGAGCATTGAGTCCGGCTAATGGCAGCATAGGAAAATAATATTTTGACTGTTATTGTGCTCTATTATCCTGTATAGGTAGCTGGACAATTTCTCAGAATTCCAGAGGCAGTAATGTGTTGGTTTCATGATGAACTGCAGCAATTGTTATACAGAATATGTATCTTAAGTTAGCAGTAAGGGCTCATGAAATAAAACTTAAGTTGAGACAAACTTCAAGTCTGTCTGATCTTGGATGAGTGGAATATATATTAGGTATAGAGTTGTGTTTCCTATTAAGGAATGTGTTTGCTGTTTAGGAGTGTTGTTAGATCCTGTTTAGGAGTGTTGTCCTGTGATGACCCAGTGTATGGCACAAAAGCAACAAAGTCACAAAAATAGGTGAAGTCTCTTTCATACCTCCAACTTGGCTCCCAATGTCCAGTTATCCTTGGCTGGAGATCAAACTCTTCAAAAAACAGTCTACAAAGGGAAGAAATGCAGTCCGAACCCAAAGTACAGATAAAGTAGAAATAAAAAAACCAACCCAAACCACACTGAAGTAAGTAATATGACAGGCCAGGATAATAAATTGCAGACTTCCAAAAGATAATGAAGCACTCACAGTTGGGAGGACGCCAAAACCCAGATAAGCCTTGACAAAGATAATACATGCTTTGCTTCCAGCAAGGTGCTGTGTGCAAACGCCCTTCTTATATCCTGTCCTCCCAGCTGCAACTAATGAAAGGGATCAGGGCCTTTTTCTCTCCCATAAGCCACATTGCTCCCTTCTTTTTTCCTCCCTGTGTGCCCTAGGATGAAGACGGGGTGACCCTGGGTCTTCCTCTGAATGCCAAGTCAGACTGTTCCCTTCCCCCGTTTCTTCCACAGCCACCGGAGCCACACACCCACCCCCTGTCAGCTGCTCAATCTCCCCCTCAGAATCAGACTCCAACAAGGGCATGACAGATCCACTGAATTCCACAGTTTTAAACTAGTTTGGCTCAGTGGTGTTTCACCCATATGCCATTCTGGAAACAGGTACCTGGACATGGTTATCTATTCATGCTGTTCCAATTTGAAAACTGCAATCTTTGTTTTGAAGCTCTTTCTGGAAATTTTTATTGGTACAAGTCATCCTGGTAATATATATCCATCTTACACACAAATATTTTACATGTTTCTGATGCTATTCAAACTACTGTGGTATCAGCATCATCCAAAACCTTTTGGGAATTGCCTATCCTATGAAACAATGTAAATTCTTCTTGGTGAATTTATTTTCTGGGCCACCAGCCTGCTGTGATTAGGTGAGTTCTCCAACGAAGAAGGTCCCTCTTGTAATGATAGCTTAATTTTGTAACAGTTTCTTGAGTTTCCATTGCTGAGATAATAGTTTCCCTCCCCCAAGGATGTTCTTTCTTCTCTTTCTCCCTGCTCACATTTCATGATGCTTCATTGGTCACCCTACAATAAGACCTTGATAAAATACAACAGAATATTTCTGGTAAACAACTTTTTATGGAAAATAAATAGAAATGAAATGCATCTATTATTACAGATCATTGTGTAATACCTGAATGCAGGGTTCTTGAAAGTTCACCAAAGACTTTGCACACAACTAAACAGAGAGGTGCATGACAGCCAAATACAGGAGAATTTGGAACAAGAACACAAGGATTTTTTTTTAATGTTTACCCAACATTGGATGTTTTTATTAGCACACTAGATCAGAAGCAGCAGTCAGGACCTTCAGAAAGCTTTTAGGCACATGGGGAGGGAAGAGAAACTCTTCATTTTCTTTTGTGTTTGGCCTATGATTTATATATTTATTTAATCATATTTTTAAAATGGAAAATTTCTGACATTCTGTCCCCATTAAGAATGAAACAACCTTTGGCATTCCAAAGCTTCCTTTAGCATGGAAATTCCATTTCTGAAGCAGATCTCTAGGGCTTGTGTGTTTTCGGAGGTTTGGAAGGGGGTGGTGGAGAAAAATTCAGAGATAAATCTATTCTAATAGAAGCATACATGGTGCTCTTTTATTAGTTGCAGAGAGAATGAATTCAGCAGCTGTTTAAGTTTCCAGCTGCTGACCCAGTAGTCCCAGAATATCATGCCTGACCTTGAATTAACCAGGATCCCTGGAGCCTGTCCTTGAAGTCTTAATTTTTTGTCCATTTCCGGAGAAAAGGGAATATATAGTGTGTCCGAGAGAGGCATGCCCTTTTTGTGAACATATTCCTTTTCCCTTCTTTGGGGCCTGCCCCGTGGTGCCTTCAGTCTTTCATTCAGTGTATATTTTCTTTTTCTGTCTCTGGTGGTACGTTCACCATCTTTCTTTATACAAAAGGCACATAGTTCTTGTCAGAGCTGCAAAGCTCTGTTCATAATTCTCCTACTGCGAAGGAGTAAGGGGTAGCTTTGACAAAATGTTCATTGAGCTGATTGATCTGGGCAGGGCTAAATATGAAGTGGTTGCTGAGATTTTCAGATAACTTATGATAACTGAACCCTTTTAGGATGGTGGCTTCTTTCTTTTTCTTTCTCTTTTCCTTTCTCTTTCTTGGCTTTGGCACTTTTTAGACTGGCATTCAGTCTGTGATCTCTCATTAGGGGTTTAGTTCCAAATTGTAGACCTTAAAATAGAAAAACTTACATCCACTTACATCTTTATTCAACAATTCCAGTAAGAGCACTAGTATAATCTGGTCATCTACATTAGGCCAATAGCAATAAAAGAATATCTATTGATCAGAACTTATTTTTTCTTTTATTCATTAATCTCCATTATATACTGTGCAAAATCATGGTTTGTCTAATAAATCTTTGTTGGTGCATCTCATGAAATCACTTGGATTAGTATAGTGCAGTTACTTTTAGATTTAAGAATAGATCAGAAATTGCTTTTTTTTTTAAGACCATCTGTTATTAAAACTAATGTAACTCAGTTTGAATACAGTGGTTAGTTTAGAAATGAAAGCTATCATTTTCTTCTTTCTTGTAGAGAATCAGAGAGATGATCTTGAGGGAAACAGACACAAATCTTCATATAAGCAAAGAGGGCTAAAACCTTCCTTAACAAAATAGTATTTGGAAGATCAAATCAGAAAACAGGTTTCATAGGAATGTGTACTTTTTGCGAGAGGCCATATTAATAGAACCTTGCAAGTGTGACAGCATTTTGTCTCCTTCCCTCTTATATCTTCTCATGCCTCTTCTAGAAGGGGTGTGTGTGTGTGCGTGTGTGTGTGTGAGTATGAGGAAAGTGCACAAGTCCCAAACTTATTTATGTATTGTAACTGGGCATGAAGAAGGCCATCTACGTCCCATCCCTAAACTTCATTGTACAAGGAAGCAAGATCAGTTAAATATTATGGTAATATTAAATGTATTTGCATAAGTTTTTTCCCTTATTCCTTTAAATATATATTTGGTGGAAGAAGTGTCCTGTATGTATAAACTAGATTACATATTGCGGTGAGTCCATTGGCTTCTATTGGAACCCATGATAAGCTCATGCACATCATGGTATCTTATTGTGAATGAGATGAGTAAAGGAATTTATATCAGAGTACAAATTACATAATTTGCAACTTCTGCATGAAAACATCATGTGTATGAGATAATTTATTTTCCTTGCCCATCCTTTATTAGTGCCCATGAGTCAGTCATAAAGTATGTGTGGACTTTACTTTAGCAAATGTATTATGAACCCATTTAAGATATGGTTTATAGCTTAAGGTCTTATGAATCTAGTTACAACAGCTTATTTGTAACTCATCATATAGTTTGATGTGTTGGCCCAGCAAGGGAATAGAAGAAAACAACATAACTGGAAGGTAAACTAAGATGAAGGTACATCACATTGCATCACTGTATGTTATTTGTTATTAGCTTACAATTGTTTCAAGAATTAGAATTGCCTCTTTGTTTCGGCAGGTATCTTTGTCTGGCCCTCAGTCAATAGCTTGGATGAAAGCTGATTCTTCTTGCATGAGCATATTCAGTCTGAATATTGTGCAAGAGATGTGAGTAAAATATATAGAAAGTGAGCAGTGTATGATGGGAAGGAGGGAATTATAAAGGGAAAGACCATTGAAGGTTTTTTTTAACCTCTTCAATATTAGTGAAAGGTTGAGTTTTTATGGTCAAGCCATAATGCATTGTATGAATCCAACTGATTGCAATTGATTAAATGTATCCTTATACTATCACTTTATATATTTTAGCAATATGCAAAACACACACGAGGCCTTCTTCATCCCTCTTTTAAATGCAAGTTCCTCCTAGGGCTGTGATTAGTCAGCATAAGAGTTTGAGATGTCTTAAAAATATTTTTACATTAGTGCAGTTGGAATCTATTCCTGTTTCTTTCTTAATTGGTAGAGAAACAACTTTTGGTTGCTTTAAAGTTAAATCATAAATCAGTTCTTGCTGAGTTATTTTATGCTTACCTTGCTGTTAACTATGGTAGGCAAACTTCTGACTGAGAATTCTACCTTGTTATTGAGCAATAACAAGAGCACCATGTATAGATAGATTCTATAGATTCATCTCTGGATTTCTCTCCATCACCCCTCATTCCAAACCTCTGAAAACACACAAGTCCTAGAGAGATCTGCTTCAGAAATGGAATATCCATGCTAAAGGAAGCTTTGGAATGCCAAAGGTTGTTTCACTTTTAATTGGGACAGAATGTCAGAAATAGTCCAGTGTGGCTGGACTAGGGCTGAAGGCAGGCCTTAAAGCAGCCTTAAACCATGCCAGCATAAGAACAATTCTGGGTCAAACATTGTCTACACTGGTGTTTTTCAATCTTGGCAATATTAAGATGGGTGGATTTCAATAGTCCTGTTTAATATCTACATGAACTTCTAGGCAGATTATCTGCTATCACTGGCTTAGATCTCTTCAATATGCAGATAATACCCAATTGTATCTATCAAAATTCTGTCTTCATGTCTGGAGGATCTAAGATCCAGATGGGGAAGAGTAGATTCATACTTAACCAGTCCTGTCCTAGGCTAGGGCACACACATACCAAGAGGTAATTGCAAGGAGATTTACTTAGGACTTAGTAGTTATGGGCAGTAGCAGGCAGGACATATATGCAAACAGAAGCACAAAGCAGCAGAGCAACAGATCCCTGGAGAGCTTCCTGCAAAGAGTTTGCACAGCCAGAATCCAAAGTGGGGGAACAAAAGCATAGCCAGGTCACCGTGCAAGAGTTCAAACAGGACTTGTCAGTCATTCGGCGTTGCAAGTAGTGGTTTCCACAGGCAACAGGTTCACGAGACAAACAACAGAAGGTTTAGCAAGCAGAGTAGTTGCTCCCAACAGATAACTTCTAGGCAGCAATGGCTCTTAAGTGGAATTGCATGACAGACAGAAACATCCTTAATATGCAAGAAGCCTTGCAGATCTCTGTTCTGTGATGTGCTCTATCTTACAAGCTATAAGAAGGGTGCAGATTCAGCCCCTCATCTTCTGTTGCCTCCAGGTAACTGGAATGTACCTCAGCCATGTTGGCCTCTAGCAACTGATTTCTGGGCTCCCTCTGAAGTTGCTACTTCTCTAGACACCCTAAATAAATAGAGGTCTGTAGGAGGCGTGCATAAGCGCACCAACGTGTCTACCGTCTCTGTCCTATTGTTTGTTTTATATATATTTTTATTTTATTTTTCTTATATGTATCCATGTATTCATAGCTATGTTTTTACTTATACCTATTATCTTGTAAGCAATTGACAAATAAAAATAAAATAAAAAATGTCATATTCATCTCAGCCTGAGTTGGCCATCACATAGCTCTAGAAGGGCTGAACGACTATGGATTGATGGGCCTCTGTTTCTGGAATTTTGCTATTTTAGTTTAAATAGAATTGCATTTCCCCAAATGGAACTGAAGTCCTTCTGGAGTCGCTGCTCTTGTTCATGGGGCAGCTTGAGTGGCTGTAGATTTGGACAAATCCTTTTAATGTAGCAATTATGCCTTTTTTGTATTGGAAAGTTATGTTCATGCTTGTTCATGCCTTGGCCTCTTTGTAGTTGGACTATGACAATGTAGTCTTCAAGGACAGGGCAAGTGAAGTATTTGGAACATACACCTGAATGTGTATAGTGGGCAAAAGATGCATATGATGGGCAAAAGAGTTATGGGTGCACTTTAGTTCATCTGGGTAACACCTTTGCTCAACAAGGAGCAGTCATGGCTACTTGGTTTTTAGATGGATTCCAAGGTGCTTGTCTTCAATTGTAGAGAGATATGTGAGAGACGTGCTGAAGAAATGCTGCCTAGAGAACAATCAGATAAGAAACATCATAGCTCACAGACGCATAATGACCAGAGAGAAAGACTGAGAAGAGACCCTCCTTAGCTTCAAAGATAAAATTGAAACCAGAAGTTTTCCTTTTAGGGCTGTTGGATAAAAAAAACTTGAAAGAAAATTTGGAACTTTGTTATTATATGAATTGACAGCGGTGAGAATCCTACAGTATATGCGCAAAAATGGAAAGACACGTCAATTCCCACAATGGAAGAATGGATGGAAAAAGTGATGGAGTTGGCGGCGATGGCAAAGCTAACTGTTTTAATTAAAGAGACAAACTAATCCAGTTTTGTTTCCACTTGGAAACCGCTTTTGGACTTTATGTTTGAAATACAAAAAGATGAAATATTCATTTTAGATTTTGATGATTGGATTAACTTTGTTGTTATAGAACTGGCTTGTGTCTCAGAAATGTAAAGCGAAAAGTTGAGATTGCAACTATATTTTTTATAGTACCTGTTTGAAAGCACTCAATAGATGAGACCCCCTTTCTTTTCTTAGTAACTGGTTCCATTGTCAGTTTTCTCTTGCTATTAGATTTTTCCTAATATTTAGCTAATGGTTACATATCATTAAACATCAAACTACTGCTTTCCCAATTTACAGAATATAAAATATAAATAATTTATTGCCTTTGGGGCATTGGGGACAAATAATGGTTTTGTTTTCCTTAAATGAATCCTCTTTTGCTGTGAATTGCAAGCTTTGAGAAAAGAACCAGTATTTTTCAGCTGTTTATTAGTCTACAGTGTTTATTAGCAACGGGGGCACTGTTTGTCTTTGTTAGCAACAGGATGGTACTAGGAGTATCTACAGTATAGAAATGTCAAAAAAAGTGAAGATGGGAGCTAGAACAGGGTAATCAAATCTGCACAACTGTGTGGTTGGAGGAACAAAGGTTCAAACACATGGTCACAGCTGCCATCTTAATTTGACAACCCCGATCCCTTGGTTATGTCTGCTTATGTCTGTAAATGAATTCTGAAAAGCCATAGGAAAGAGGAGGAGAACAGTGTAAAGGTTTAGTTTGAAAGTTTGAAGTTTTAGTTTGAAAGTATTTCCTCCCTTTCATCCTCATACTACAGGGTTAAAATAGTTTCAGAGTATATCAAATTCTTCCTCTTTTTCATTACGACCTACAGATTTATTCCAGCCAGGGCACCTCTCCAGTTTTACAGTATTTTAAATAGGTCAGGTTTTGGACTGTCTAGGACACAAAATATGTAAAGTTCAGATGGCTCAGGAAAATAATATATCAACTCTAACCCAATGGCAAGACAGTTGCAGTGGTAAGTTTAGAAATCTATGCCTTATTTCTGTTTTTCTAACAAGCTCCTTCCCTTTAAAAATACTTACTCCTTTGGGGGTTCACACAGAATCATGGTTTACTTTTCTGACAGACAAGCCAAACTAAACAAACCACAGTAGGATTTAGCATGATTATGAGTCAACTGAAGAAAGGTTACCACCACCACACTTCTTCATCTTAAACAAATCTATTTCACAACTCTTTTTTTAAAATATAGCTGGATATAAACTCATGCGCATATTTGCATTATCTGCCCAAACTCTCCCATCTTGAGTAAAATACTGGTAAAATGCCTATTTTAATTGCTAAACATATGTTTCAGAATTCACGACCAGTGTTTGTCGAGGTAGCAGGTATGTGACTCTTAAAGTCCCACAAGGTCTTCTGTGACTTGAGTTTCAATATATTAGAGAATCTTTCTCAGATGCCATTTTTTTCTAAGCTAGAGCAATGAAACTCCTTTTCCACAAAGGTTGTTGAAAATTACTCCTTGAGGTTTATTTTTAAGTCACAGTGAAGCCAGATTTTTGAAGCATTTAAAACCCTTATTTAGGGCTCTCAACAGCCTTCAAATATTTATTTAATAGAGTGAATAAAAATCTGTGTTTAGAAAAGGGAGGAGATGAATTAAAACTTCTAAGTGCTTTGTCTACATACATGAAACCTCTTCTAAAAATTAGTTATATTCTAATAATATTCTGTAATGTCTTATTATATGTCAAACAATCCGATTGCTCTTATATTTAACAGGAATAAAGTGCACAAAATTTAGTGGGAATAATTTCTTAGGAAGCCTGATTAGAATTGTAGTGCAAAGAATACTATCTACTGAATCAAGGCTAGTTACCAATAATGGAATTATTATATTTCTGCTAAAAAAAAGAAATGTTTTGGAGTCCTATTTTCCAAAGATTCTCCTCTAAAGGGCTAACCAATTCTCTATTGGTCTAAAGAAAATTAGCAAAAAGAAGGAGGAGGAATCTTTCAACTTGCTCATGAATGGATCCCGGATAGCAGACTGAACAGCTGCTAAATCTCTAGGCCAAATGTTTATGCCGGCACACATTTTGATTTTATACTAGCTCGATAACCATGCTTTGCTACAAAACTATGTGGTCAGGCTTAGTTTGGGGGGAAGAAAATAAGGGGGGGGGGAATTCATCCTCTGCCTACCAGCAGCCATCAGTATTCATCTGACTAGCGTCCTGTCAGTGTGAGAGAGTTGAGGGCTGTTTAGAAACTAAAACAGTATTTGCTGTGTGAGCAAGAAGGAGACAGAAAGGAGCCTGGGCGTGGCTTAGCTCAACTGTTCTGTACTAAAGCTTTTTGGTGCTGTGAAACTAAAACTGAAACTTCTCTCCTCTGGTTCTGTTTTGCATTTGGAACAGATTTCTTTTCAGGTGGAAAGGAGTAGTAGAACTCCTTAGCATCAGAACATGTTAATATACAAAATACTAATGCTATGATGGTCATTTTGAAAAATCTTTTCTTAGTGAGCACCTAGAAGCCAAGAGGAACATACATGCCAAATTTCAAGTTTGTAAACTTTACGGTTCTGGAGATTTTATGATGATGCGTGAGTGGTATTTTGCATATATATATATATATATATATATATATATATAGCCATCCTAAAAGCAAGCATTCCTCACATCTCAAACTACTTCTTTGTGGATACTCTTAGTTGTTTGGGTTTTGAAAGTCTACCGTATGTGTTCCCATTTGGAGGAAAAGCCAGAATACCTGAATGGGAATTTGATTTCTCTGTCTACTAATCTGAAATAAAATGTTTATCTAAAGCCAGTTTTGCACCTATTCAGGGTTACTATCCATCATAAATTGGAAAGAAGACAGCTATTTGGTTCAAATTGCACAATGTATTAGGTGATTCCTGGATACAGTCAGGTTGAATAAATGTTAACTGCAATGCTGGATATTGCCAAGATGAGGGATGAAATTAAATTTATCCAGCATGGATTCAACCCAGA